TTACATATCGCGGAAGTTGCTGCGTCGGCGCGGAAGTTGGTTACATATCGACGATTGTCGCCATGGGCCACCGTAACTAAGGCTATTTGCCATCATGAGCAATGTTTTATCGGAGGCGGCCCGGGACTATGGATTGAATATTACATGTATAGCGGGGTCAGCTAATGTAGGTCAGGTAATCGAATGTTGAGGTAATCGCAATTCAAGCGAACCGAATGTTGAGGTAATCGCAAGTCAAGCGAACCGAATGTCAATACCTTTGGACGTGAAAATAACCGAATCTTATGACAATTGAATGTCAAGATAATGGTTAAATAACGACACAATTGTAATAGAATGAAACAATGACAAAATAATATTGTAACAATTACACAATAATGAAATAATTAAGAAATAAAGTTGGAATAATGAAACAATGGCAATACGATGCTGCAGCAATAACACACTAATGGAATAAGCACAAAATAATGTTTAAATAAAGACCAAATAACCGAATAATGACCAAATAATAACCAAACAAGTTTCCAAATAAAGATCAAACAACTAAACAATGTTCAAATAATGACACCAAGCTAATTTTGGCGGTATTCTCACCCCATATAGTACATGTATAAACCACGGATGTTGTTTATGGAATGTTTGGTCTCTAGTTACAACAGATTTAGGAGTGCCTTTCAAACTTTTATTTAGTGATAGAGGTACATTTGACTAGTGTCATCAAATATACAGCCATTGTAACTGGGAAGATGGTTTCCAACGTGAACTATTATTTCGATAGTTAGAACACTTGGTGCATCTTTTTTTCTCTGTGACAATAAAAGATCAATCAACAGAACGAATGGTAGATGTGTAGACTGTACCATCTATTGATCTTGCATTAAAAGCATCCTCAATAAATGCAGAAATTTGTTTTTCCCCAGAAAAGTAAATCGATTTTACAATCTCTCCTCCTCTACTCTGTAGGAGCTCCAAAAACGACTGATCTGTATTTCCCATGCACACATTACATTGACTTATCAGATAATTATCAAGTTGTTCAGATTACTCATGCCTGCAAACATACTGTTACTGTTGATAATATTCTTCCCATGAATTTTCACACGTCAGCATAGGATATAAATAATTCAATTGAAAGCAATGAACGGAAAATATTACCCCCCCCCCTTAATTTAACATTGAGTCCTTTTTTGTTGCCACTAAAACAAATTGAATATAACACAATTTCTGCAAAAGGAAACTATTCCCCGGTAGAAGGAACTATAAATAAAAGATAAATACTAAAGGAGGGCAGCATCAACACGATACACCATGTATAAAAAGGTTACAAACGTAATTGGTCAAACCGAAACACAGTCCTGAAATCAAATTTTATGTTTTCAATCCCTGACGAAAAACATTCCTAAAAATAGCCGAATTTATGATAGATATTGAAAGTAAAACACCAACATATAAACTAATTGTTACAAGAATTTTATTTTTGTACTATTTATGAAAATCCTTTTGTTTTGGAAACGATAAACTTTCATTTTGCAGGCAATAAGTAAATGGCGCCATTTTTATTATCTTCACGAGAAACAAGTCGGCTGCAAATTAAAACAAATACATGTAAATGATTTATGGTAACAGTACGGATTAAATACAAAGCCTGAATCATCGATAATTAAACTTCAATATTTGTTTCTATATATAAATGAACAGATTATCAACATTAGGCACTCTTAGATAAAACGCAATTTTCTAATGAAAAAAATACAAAAACATAAACAGTTCCAGATACACTCACCTTGTTTTGGTTTCTGCTAGTACTCTTTTAGTTTAGATGCTTTTAACAAAGTATATATCATTGATAATGTTTGTTTTGTCATGTAATGAAACCGCTACTACGGCTACTAGAAAGTGGACGAGATGCCAGCGACGTCACTGACACTTGGGGAAAGCGAAACCTGCATCGTCAGCTGACATGACGTCACCAATTCGTCAGCAGCCAATGAGACGAGCCCATCAAATCAGATAATTATGACAATTACAGTGATCGCGTTGCGTTTCCCAGGCGTTCGTTATGGGACTGTGCCTCAAAATACAAAAACCAATCAATATCACGTGGTAAGATCGAGGAAAATATAACGAAAACAATTGATCATTAATAGAAAATTATGTTTTCACATAATTAAATACAACGTAATTAGGTTGTACACAAATTAACACTAGATTAAATTGTGACATGTGCCAAGAAAGTAGCGACCGGTTAAAACAAATAACCCCGTATAAACTCCCCTGCACCGTATAGATAATGAAAAAAATAGCCAATAACGAAGCTCAATTACAGGATAATCCTACCACCTCCGGCAAATTAACGGTTACTATAAGTATCCCGGGAAAAAGAGATAGAAATCGATGTGTACTGTTCTCCAATTTGTACGCCTCAACGTGTTTTGTTTCAATACGAATTTATTAACTAAAAGTTGTAGGACTATTCTATGACGAAGAACACGTCAGCTTACACCAAGGGCGTTAGGCAAAAGTGTTGGGTCAGTGATACATTCTGCTTTGAAAGATTTAAAAAATAATAAATATACACACAAACCAGACACTGCGCCATTATATCTATATTTAATTTCCTTACCGATTTGATACGTATTAGATAAATTGAGAAAGTCGTACGTTATCAATAGCAGCGTACATGAGATTTGTAAACAATATTTAACAGCGCGTCTATCGATGAATTGCGCGCGCTTCCACTTCACGATTGCGTGCGCGTCTGCGTTCCGACGTTTTCTAAAGCGCGCGGCCATGTCTTGTACGCGCTAGACGTACGTTTTCTAAATCTCAGAATCTGAGAAAGGCGCAAAACCACTACATCGGACTACATGTACGAGTTCGATCAAAACACGTCACCACGGTAATGATCATAGTACTGTTTCATGAAGTTGTGAAAAAAAGACGTCTGATAGCATGCACTTTGGCACATGGAGTGACCGACAACGCTTACATTGCATCTGAGTTTAAGAACAACATATGAAGTATAGTAATAACAACTTCTATTCTGTTTCTATCGTATAAGTGTTATATATCTAACCTTGCTGTCATCCCATCTTCCCGAATCGATCGCAGCAATTTCCATCGTATATCCGACATTGGTGACGTCGTATCCACAAGCACCTTTGCCTGCAGCAGCCACGTCGGCCCAGCTATAAAACGTGGCGTCACCGTGTACAATTTCTTCTGAAGTGTTACAGGCAGCTTGCGCGAAAGCAAATACCAATACAAATACCAGAAAACGCAGAAAAACATCCATGGCTATATCGATGTTCAATTGTCTGTACCTAAAAGTAGATGAAAAGTTGTGATGAGTTACGTAGCAGAGTTGTGTCGAATGACGTCACTCCCGATTTGCTAGATAAACCAAACCCCGACCCATGCTCGTCGTTCCGTGAATACTTTCATTTGTTCCTGTAGTACACACTCTAGTAAACAACAATAACACAGTACTTTGTTTGAAATTTGTCGGCTCTCCTTTGGTTATCAACGTAAATTCTGCAATACGGAACGTCGTCTGCTGCTATTCTCGAGACGGAGCTAAGTCACAGAACGTTCTAGGTTGCTAAGACGCGCGCTATGAGGGCTTCGCGAGCTGCTGTGGAACGCCGGTCGAAGCTAGGGCGGTAGGCAAAAGTGCCTGGGTAATACAATACTAGAAATACTACATGAATATTTTTCTTCTTGGATAAAATAAGTTTAGTAACAATCTAGAAATGAATAAACAGTACTACGAGCATTGCGTGGTGACATGTTTTGACTCTAACTCAAGTATTGATTCTGCGTCTTACACGTACATACGTCTAGCGCTTTTTGAAAACGTTCGAATGTAGGACGCTTTCACCCCAGCTTTTCGTATCCATTGACGCTGCACACTTGCTTCTATGCTATCGATAAAGAGCCATTGCTCGAAACGTCTAGCTATTTTTAATAGTTATTTAGGACTACGATTACCAAATATTATCTTCAATATATCACGCTGCAGTTCGGCGTCTTCTACACCGATCTGACGCATATCGCGCAAGGTGTGCTGGGAGTTTGTTCGAAATTTCGAACGTTTCGAAGTCAATCGTCGATTGCCACGTATTTTACGGATATATTAAATCGTTTCAGATACCTGTTTACTAAATAATGATAAATCAAACTTAGAAAACTTGTAAGAACAAACTGGGCCCAAATTGCAATAAGTTTACGCTACTAGAGTCTGGTTCGAATGGAGTTCTACGCGTGATTTTATTGCGCTCAAGTACGTTCTATTTTCGAACTAGTTGAAACCGGAAATAACGCAACTACTTTCGAACTTCAAACACAAATTTGATTATCGTTATTATGTGTTAGTTTCTGTTGTTTCAAAGATTGAATTATGTATGACAATAATATTTCACTCTATAAACAATGTTTCACTAAAATATGTGATTCAAAGGCAACCCAAATTGTAAAAAGCAATATCAAGTTCCGCGTATAAACACTGTTGTAAAGAGGCGGCGGAGCGGAATTTTAGCCAAAATCGGCTAGTAAGGCGTCATATGACACAGGTTTGTGCTGGGACAGCGCTTCCGGTGACGACACAACGTTTCGTATCCTCGGGACAGAGCTACGTCAGCAGACGTTCCACGTTGCTAAGACGCGCACCACACTATCCTCGGGGGGGGGGGGGGCGGACATCCAGGCATTTTCACCGCCTGGCAACTGGAGGCGGTGAAAACAATGGCCCAAAACTCGCAGAAAACGGTATTTTGGGATGATTGTTGAGACTCCTCTGAACAGTGTAACAAGATTAGCCCTACGTGTGTAACATATATAAATTTGATTGTTCGGGATTAATTCAAAGTTGAGTTTGTGTTGTTTTCTCGAATTTTCACCGGCTCGACTGGCGTTCCACGGCAGCGCGCACAAAGCCCATAGAAATGCATGTACAAGTGGTGCGCGTCGTAGCAACGTGGAACGTCTTGTGACGTAGCTCCGCCCCCGAGGATACCACGTATTCTAAGGGCTCTGTGCGCGCTGCTGAGGAACGCCGAGCGAAGAGCCGGTGAAATTTGAGAAAACAACAGGAACACAACTTTGAAGTCCCTGGTTTGAAGTAATCCTGAACAACCAAGTTTATATGCGTTACACACGCAGGGGTAATCTTGTTACACTGTTCAGGGGAGTCTCAACAACCATCCCAAAGTACCGTTTACTGAGAGTTTTCGGGCTTTGTTTTCACCCTGCCATGCGTTGAAAATGCCCGGATGTACCCCCCCCCCCGAGAATAGGCATTCTACTTCCCAGAGTTCCTTGCGGTTAGATCACCAAAAGAGATATATTTGTAGAAATGGAACTCTGCCTGGGAGATTGGGTCCGATGTGACTGAGAATTTGAACGAGGGCCGTATCAGAGTCTCGATACAGTGTGGCTCTTTTCCACCACGAATTCACTTAGATCACGGCTGAAAAAACGCAAGAATTTTCATTGCAAAAATTTATTTACAACACCAAGATCAGATATAAAGTATCTATTGAGTTACAGAAAACATCTTGTTCACTGAAAATGACAATATTTCGTCGCCATTTTCTTTTTCACAATGATACAAGAAATGCTATCTGGAATAATAAGTGTCATTGGAGACATTAAAGTTGCATTCCTACTTTGTAAATATTTAAAATAATATATGTGGATTACTATGAGAGATATTTGAAGTTACAAAAGTGCGCGAATAACAAGAAAACGACCCTGAAACTTTATTTTAGGCGGCCCACCTAAATTATTAGCCGAAGACCAACGAAAATACATCGGCACGCTTTCCGCGCGGTCCATTCTAAATCTGACCAATGGGGTGAAGGCAGTTCATCTCAAAACCCCGACTGCCGCTAATAAATATTCAGACAATTTGCGTTCACCACTTTAATAAGTGCACTATCAGGTGAATAATACTGCACAAAATATATTGGTAAATGTTTTATACCGTCTGGCAAATCAAATACGCTGTGTGAATAGTATTTAGAGTAGAAAACGGCGTACAATGTCGAACTAGAAATAGTGTTCTAACTTTCGATTGTGGAATGGTGGTCACCGAAAATGATCGGAACGGTTCGGCAGTGACCGAGAAAGTTCGATTATTCGCATTTTTGGTCAGATTTCTCGTTATAAGTGCACTTTCGTTCCTTCAAATATCACTTATAGGAATTCATATATAGCATTTAACATTTTTTGCAAAGTGGGAATGCAACTTTAAGATGCGCATGCGACAACGGATACGTCATTACTTTGTGCATGACCTCCGCGTAAACCAATGATGTCATCCGTTGCCAGGTCGTACGGCGGTCGTTTTGAACGTGGTAAAAGTGAGTGACTCGTAGTTGATTTCCGAGAGCTCTTCTCGTTGTCAGTTTGATTCATTTTTAATGACATTGATATAACCAGAGGTACATTACTTGGGGTTTGCAACGCGCATAGCACTGTATGGTGAACTCATGTCAAGATCCCATTCAAATCTCATCTCGTAGATAGCGAGACTGACGCTACGACCTTCTGACATGACAAGGGCGGCTTGTAATAAAACAATAAAATATGTATTACCACATTCATAGTAAAAAAATGTAATACATCAAAAATGTACAGAAAATATAGTTATCGTAATCCGTCATATCGTAAGCAGCTATTTTGATTTGAAGTGTACACAAATGGCCAGCTCGTTGTTATGTAAACAAAGCAGACGAAGCCGGGCATTTATGACCACTTTCTCGAAAGGCGACGTGTACTAACCAGTTAGTTTAAATGAAACTAAATAAATTGTGCTTGAACATTTCAGAATGGCCACTCCCATGAAGCGACACGTGTTCTGAAAGAGGTTGCGGCGAACAGGCCTGAGACCACTGCAGTATGGATGGGGATCACGTGAGCTCTTTCAAATGCTTGGGAGCTGAGTACCGGAGTGACTGCTAGAGCTTTCCGTGAACATTGTGAGCTCTTGATTGCCAAATTCAAGACTGAGTATAGGGCATTATGTGTGGGGGTGCGTGTGTGTGTGTTGGTGTAGACGTAGAAGTAGAGCCAGTAGTCCAGACATACACAAACGAAGTGGAGCCCTTTGTACAAGTGGAGGGGCTCCACAATGTTTCATAATTTATATTAATATTTAATCGAATTTAAGTCAGGTTTCCGAAGCTTAGGTTTAGTATCGGGGAAGGTATGGTTCATTTTATATTAATATTAATATAA